TATGTCCCACTTCATGCTAAATTTCTGTTCAGATTGCCAAATCTGATGTGACAAATTTGTTTTATTTGTTTATATATATGGGCATCATAGTGTCATATACTGTCACACCCATATTGGCAAATATTACGTATTTGTCGCAGTAAACCGTATAGTTTGGACAGAGTTTATAACATCAGTTTTTGGCATTTGCAGGTCACTCATTGTCAGTTATTACTAGATATTCCAAAGACTTGTACCTAGATTTTGCACTTGCCACATCAAATTTTTTCAATGATCAACTACTTTGGTGTAGAATAGAATCATAGCTTTATTGGCAACTATTAACTTGATTTGTAACGCTTTCAACTTCTGAGGGTTGACAAAAATAGGAAAGTAATACATTTGTACTGAAACTTTATGGGTATTGTTAACAATATTTCTAATTATAAGGTTATCCTTCAATTATGTGTGCAGGACAACTGCTGATGATGACATAATTAATGTTGAAATATTGAATCCCGACACAATGGCGTGTATTTCGATACTTGGAGCATTTTCTCTATGCTTGGAGTATGTATTACTATCTTATCAGCACAACTGTGGTCTTGAGTTATTAGTTTTGTATCTAATTCCTCAAAGATTATTTAATGGCTGTTTGTAGTACACCATGGGGTTAATGAATCGATTAATAATAAATATTTAGTTTAACATTTCATAGTACTTCATCTAAATTGTAAGCAGAAGTATTTTGTTAATTGACAGAGTCAAGTGGATGTGTAAGTGTTGGTATTGCTTTTGTTAAAGGCTTTGTCCATTGTTCATTTGTGTTAAAGCTTGGTTTAATATTAAGGCTAGGTTTGGTAGAATCATTGGGTCTACTTCAGATTTTAGGAAGGTTTTCAGCATGTGCCATCTATTTTTGCACTATAAAATTCCTTTAGCAGTTGACCAGAGACTTATTAAAACTGATTTCACCTCAACTCAATCCCAATTTTTTGTTGATTAAAAAATTTGTTGGTGGATGACAGCTAGCTCTAGTTTGTCTCCTAATATGTGTCAAAAACAAGCCAAACCAGTCACTCGGCACAAATTGTGTTTCAGAGATAATGACCAAAACATGCTGGAATGTCAACATTTTAAAAATCTTTTATTGCACTAAACTAACCTTTACATATCTATATGTCACGCTATGGTGTTATTTTCCCTATTTTCAATGTTACAAAAACAATTTTTAATGATTTGGTGATTTGTTTCTGGCTGAGAAATGCCCCGAAATCATAAACTTTGAAGGCCAATTTCTCAGATATTGTTCATTAAACAGCTGTATGTTTAAACACTTGTAACTTCATAAGGAAATGTTGGATTCTTTTACCATTTCATAGCTCTCATTTTACTGTTTAATTTAACCCTGTATTAATTACTAGAAATTGATATTTTTGACGAGTGACTGGTTTGGGTTGTCTTTGCTACATATAGCATTATGATACCTTGAAACATGTTATTTTAACAATGAAGCCATCTACATACTTTGTTCATCATTTGTCCATACAATTTTGTCATTGTATTTATTTTTGTTTTATTTGCATTGTTTTCTTAAACCTACATTTAGAATCATGGTCCCGATACGGTACACTAGGGCTAGCCTTCTGTATTAGACATCTGTGGATAAGGGGGTCAGTGGGTCGCGATTCACGTCTGAAACTGGGTCGTCATTGTAAAAGTTTGCAAAACATTGCTGTACTCTAATTTGTCTATCCCTTTAGTAATGATAAAGTAGTGGTAGGCTATTTGTAGTTCAGCACTAGCTTGTATGCTAAATATATCTGCTGGATTAATCCATTCCAAAATGAAGGGACCCGAGCTGTTAATCTTGTTAGTTCTGTGACAATTTGTGTCAATATTAATTGAATCATTAATATCACCGCTGCTTGATGGTAAAGCCCTGTTGTGGTTGTATTTCAATTTTGATTATCTAATTGCAGATGTTGTTGATGAATTCATAAGTAATGTTATAATGGAAATGTCATTTTGTGGCTTGAAACATCTCGATACAATCGTCCAGCATTGCTATATTTAGCTTTCGCAAATTAGTTTGATGCCAATTAGAAGAATTATGTATTTCCAGTGCCAAGTACAGATATACATGTGTAGGCTTTGTAAAATTGTAATAAATTTTGTCATCATCAACAGTATTAATTTAATTAAGAAGTGGACACATAGAAGGAGTCACTGACCTGCTTATGTCTGTGTGTATTCTTAATAATCATTATATGTTTACGAAAAACTTTTGGAACTACATTTTTGTCAAAAGTCCACATGAAATCTATTAAATTAGCTATGTCATCTTGGAATAAAAAAAAAAAACAACTTATATACATGTATTTATTTATTTATTACCATAACCTAATCCTTTTTAAGTGAAAGTCATGATGAGTACATCTTTTTCTAGATGTACTCATTTTCAAGCAAGCACCTTCGTCATCAGAGTATGTGATTCATGAATATCGTGCAGTTTGCAAGTAAAATGCAAGGTGTTTGTTGATTTCTGTATGTATAATTATTCCCTAAACATTTTATTGTATGTTTCTTGTGAATATGAAACTAAGCTGTGAGTTAACTGTTGATATACATACTGATAAAGATATACAGTCTGTGAAAATGTAATAATTGGATTGCTTACTTCCTATATTTAAGTAAGTTTTTTGCTTTCTGTTGAAAATTACAACCAAAAAAAATAAAATGTCATTCTTGCCAAATATCAGTCATACAAATAAATAAATAGCATTCCTATTTCTAATGATATTTGTATGGATTGTTAAATCAGCTGGTAATCACATTGAGTGTTTGTTATATTCTCTTTCTCATTGCAAGTTGATATCTTTGATTCTTTTAAATAAACTATTCAACATTGTTATTGACTTAGAAGGTTTTTCTGATTTTCTCACAGGCTGTATATCTAAAAATAAGGCCAAACAATTACTGTTGCCTAAACGTGGAAGGACGATTAAAAATCTAGGATCTTTTTTTTTTTTTTGCAAAATTATATTTATTCTTCCCCCAAGGAAGAACCAAAAGTGCATGTATGATGTATGAAATGGGTACTCATCTTGCTTAAGTTAATAATTTTAATTCTTTAGACTAGAACCCTAGATTTTCCACATTTCACTATGCTTGGGCAACACAAAAATTTGTTTCTTCTCCATCCCCCTCCCCCAGTATGTGGTAGTTATCGACAGGTGATTATTGTGATGAATGTCCTGTACTGCAATAATTCCACAAATAATTAATAAAAAGTAATTAGTTTTAGAATTTTACATGAATTAAAATTTTACGATTTTATTATAATCTAATGTAGACAATGTAATAAGCTATATGTAAATATAGCTTGATATAGTATTTTGTATGTTGTGAAAATTGCTATCAGTTATCAACATGTGAAATGGTGGTAGCCAAATTATAGTGCAGTTTTTATTCAACACATGAAAGATTTAATTAATTAAATTGTGTTTTTGGATATTATTTAGTAGGGCAAATGTTTGAGGGAGGAATTGTAGTAGTGGGGTTTGTAAAGTATATAATTAATTTCAATTGTGGAATATGAATTATGATACACATTATGTACTGCATGAAGTATATTTCAGGAGTTATTGTGTAAGATGAAAACATCAAAAGGGCTGGGCCCCAATGCTGACACTGCGTGCTGCATTTGGAGTTTTATGTAATTGCAGTTCTCTCTTTTGGTATTTCTGGTAGTTGGATCCTATAACGATGTAAAATTGGAATACCAGTGTAACCTAGTAAGAGTATATTAGTAGTGTGTGAAATATAGATTTCTCTCTTGACAGCATACCATGTAATTATTTAACATCCATTTCTTTGTTTATAAAGATGGGTTTGTTCTCAATAGAGAAAAGATTATGTGAATGTTTACTCCGTTCGTAAGGAACAATGATTTGTGATTTGATAAAGTGAAGGGAGGGAAAGAGAACTGGCTTTCCTTTACAGTATTTTATCGGGTTCACTATTTACTTATTTATTTATTTAAGCCATCTACAAGGCAAAATATTGAAGATAGATGTGTTTCTAAATTCATTATAGAAAGATAGTAAGATCAAAGAAGTGCTGTGTATATGAGATGGGATGTAATTCCCATTTGTAAAGGTGTATTTTTTGGGACATTACACTCTGATGTGATTTGTTTTGCTCTATTTTATCTTTCAAATGGCAGAATACCATTTATCATCCACAGACATTTTGACATTTCACCATTTGAGGTTGAAATAAAAGTTTTTGAGAAAAAAACAATTGAAAACAAGTGTATTATTTTATGTTATGATTGTAGAAAAAGTACAACCACTTGCCCACACATGTCCTTCAACCTCACATAAAAACTGCATATTTCCAAACATTTCCTTGATCAGTATTTGATTTTTTTAAATACAGTAGATATCTAACATTTTTGTAAACAACATTCTTAATACAATCTCATTAACCCATGTATGTCACAATTTTCAAACTTGATTTGCTGAAATAATTCTACTTTACTGTAGATTATTAAAAAATGCAAAGTATCTTTCTTTGTTTAATAGAGAAAATGTTTCTGAAATGATTGAAGTAAATAAGGTAAACAACATGAGAGATTCAAGAGAAGGGCTTGTGCTAATTGGTTTCGATTTCCGTGCATATACTGAGGATGTTGTTGAACTTTATGCTGTGGCATCATACTTATGGATGTACTGTCTGTCATGATTTAAAGAAAAAATTGAAAAATCCTGTTTCAGTACAGTAGAAAATTAACAGCACTAGATTAAACTAGCAGTGGCATCTCAAAGCTGGGTGTGGTGACTTCCCCGTGGGGACTTTCCCCTAGACAAAGCTTAAGTATCACAGGTACCTCTCCCCTAAC